TATTATGTGAACAAAAACTTTTATTTTGGATGCGATTAATCACGATTAATCGTTTGACGGCACTTTGAATATATATATATTTTTTTATATATATATATATATATATATATATATATATACAGGGTTGCACATAAGTGGTTCGCAGGTGTGCATGCATGACCAAAATAAAGAAATGTGCTGTGTAAATAAGTTCAGACCGCTCATTTGCATTCCGACATGGTTGACAGCTGTTAAAGCCAAATTACCATTTTAGATCAACAAACTGTAATACTATATAAGATTTCTATTCTAACTGAAAGCATAAATCTAGGCTATCCACCGGCATTTCAAAGCACAATGCAAAGCTGCGACATTTCACATTTCATTCACCGACACGTTTCAGTCAGCAGAGCTAAACCTGGCAGGCACATACTTATTTGCCGGCAACCCGACAAAATAAAAGCTTGCTAATTTAAAAATTAAAAATGATGAAAATTCATTTATAAAAAAAGTACATATTAGCATTTTAAGTTTATTATAAAATAATTGTATATTTATTTAATACTCCCTTTTTATTTTAAATAATAGTATTATCACACTTTATTATTATTATATATTTTTAACTAAATACATAAAGTGCAATAATATTATTATCACTATTATAAATGTATTTTTTTATTGTTATATTTAATGGGTCACAGTATGTGCTGTGTGAGGACCAAACCAAATCTCCAGGTGGAACCAGGCTGAAAAACTATAAATTATTTTAAAGACACCAGTCTATATCTTGATTTGATAAAGTCTACAGCCCAACTTTGATTTATTCATCCATATTTTGCCAAATTTCACTACATTCCATGTTATACCATACATTTTATATCACTGGACAGAAATTATACCTGAATGCTGTGCTGAAATATTGTTTGTATAGTGTTATAAAAATAACTGTTCATCCTTTTGGGTTGTACATAGAAGTTCAGTTAAACTTAAAATCTAAAATGTTGACTGTAATTTTACTTTAAATGTTAAGCATGTTTTCTCTTTCTAATTTTGATCTCAGTCCCACCTCAGCCAGAGCATCCACAGCTCTTTACACTCTCTGGACGCAGACACCCCGGGCCGCCCGGACGGCTCTGACCCTTATAAGGATGGGCTTCGGAGGGTGCAGTCCACCGACAGCCTGGGTTCTTCAGGAGGGGCCCTACAGCCTCACGGGCTCGGTGGACACAACAACAAGGCCAAGTCAGCCAGCCAGCTGGACGAGTCGGACTTTGGTCCTCTAGTGGGGGCAGACTGCGGGGGCTTTGACAGCAGGGACACCTCCTCCATATCCTCCCTCCAGCCAGGACACTTTCTCCTCACCAAGGACCAGGAGAAGGCCATTAAGGCCATGACCCCAGAGCAGGAGGAAACAGCATCACTCCTGTCCAGCATCTCTCATACTGCTGATACGGCTTACCTGCCTCCGTCTGGCTACCGACTGGTCAGCGAGAGCGAGTGGAATCTGCTGCAGCAACAGGTCAGATAGTAGATGCTTTTTAGGGGGCGTTTTTGTTTATTTCGATCACAATTTATTTTAAGATCCAGTTCTCGCTATTAACAAACCATTAACTATGACTATGCCTCAAAACTCATAATTTGCTGCTTGATAATAGTTAGTAAGGTAGTTGTTAAGTTTAGGTATTGGGTAGGTTTAGGGATGTAGAATATGGTCACTAATAAACAGCCAATGTTTTTAATAATAGGCATGCTAATAAGCAACTAGTTAATAGTGAGAATTGGCCGCTATACTAAAGTGTTACCTTTATTTCTAAGTGTTACCCGTATTTGATGACTCCATTTTGTTTTCTGTACTGTTGAACCCAGCCAAACAGTAGCCTTGTTAGTGAAAATACACTCACTGGCCACCTTGCTAATATAGGGTTTGACCCTCTTTTGAGTGATGAGTGTGTTCTCTTCTCGTGCAGCAGAAGTGGTTCAGTCAAAACGCTTAAAAATTATAACTGCATGAGAGGATAATATATGAGCTGTAAGTTTCCTGCTGACAAGTTGCAAACTTCATTTAACATCACAACTGACAAATGTATGGAATACTCAGATTCAGAGTCAGATACGCAAATGATTATATTTTGACGTCATAACCTGATTTATTAATGAAGTAGGGGTGTGCGATATATATCGTCTGCGATAAGTCATCAAAGACGGAAAGTGCAGGACTCCCTCGGTTGTGTGCAGCGTAGAGCGTAACGAGTCACACGACCCCTCCCCCTCTGGTTGGTGTGAGCAGTTAGTGAGAGTCACCGGTGTGTAGGAACTTTTTCCCCCGTCGAAAAAGACGAAGTCTGTCGTATGGGAATTTTTCGGGTAACGTAGACTAACCATGTTCCGTACACAATGATGTTCCGTACAGATGACGTTTTAGCGCCGATCGCTAAATAAATACTTCCAGTTCGTACATAAACTACATATGTGTCATCTTCATTTCTCCCTCTTTCACCCCAGTTCAAGACCGAGACCCACCCGCCGTTTGTTTCAGTGTTTAAATAAATACTATTTGGCTTGCTACCGAGGCAGATAACATGGCTAATTAACTAGCTAACGTCAACTAGTTTCCTCCCTCACGTTACTTCACAGAGTGAGGAATAGCA